TGGAAGGTGGCCAACTTAACAGCAACACATTCGCAATGTGACATTAAAAACAAGGTCAAAATCTAACTGACATTGGAAAAATGTAGTCCAGTTGTGCAAAGTGATGCAGGTAGCAGCCAGGGATGTCATCTGAAATATCAAGCAGGTGCTATATTTACACAGGCTTCCAGCGCAGATGCAGGCCAGCAACTATCCAACGTCGAAATGTTCACAAAGAGGCTTTTCATTACGGCTGCAACTAACTTATTTTCAGCACCAATGAATCTGACAATTATTTTTCTGATTAATCAATGAATTGTTTGGTCTAGAAAATGTCAGAAAACAGTAAAATGATCCCAAAGTGATGTCTTTAACAAAGTCTTTTTTGTCCAACCAACAGTCTGAAACCCAAAGATGTTCATTTACTAGCAGCAAATCCACACACTAAAGGAGTTAAAACCAGACAATTCTGGCCATTTTTGCTCCAGAAATCTAGAGACTCTGATCCAGCAGTTCCATCTGCATGCGCCTCATCCTTTCACTGTGTTTACAAATGCAACTGAATAGACCCGTGACTGATGCACAAGAGACGCAAACACACAGACACGGCTAACAGCACAAGGCCAATATCTGAGCTCACTGATCCGTGAACAGCGGTGCATCGGCGCCTTGGCTTTCACCGACACCCAAAGCTTCTCGACCGCCAACAATGAGAAGCGGGTCAGCTGCCCGAGCCATGTGTGGCTGCATAGGATGTGGTGAGGAATTCAGGTCAAGCCTGTAGTAACTGTAGCAGCACGCCCAGGGTCAGGCTGCCGTTGCCATGGTTACCACGCTGGATGCTGCAGAAAAGGCCCTCGGAGGCAGAGAATCACCACGGCATGAGGAATAGGGAGTTGCTGGGTGGATGGGAAGGCTGTTGCCACACAGAGAGAACCGAGAGCTGCAGCCAATCGCGGCCCAGCATGTAACGATGCATAATGTAAGTCAGGGAGCCGGCTGTGTTTTTAATTTGCAAGTTATGTTGAAATATTTAGTCGGGGATGTGTCAGGGTTTGAGTGAACACTTAAATGTTTCTTTCTGCCAATGCAGGGAGTCAGACACTGTACTGTGTACTGTAGCCTAAAGCAAAGGTCCAATACCGCACACAATGAGGCAGCTGAGGATGTCAAACAGAGCACCTTCATCACTCATTTCCTATTACCTGCCATGAGATTACTGCTCCTGAATGACACAGAACAAGTTTATATCACAAGGGGGAAACTCCTGTTTTAAAGGACATGATATAATGTCCATGATCAAAGTCCCCACGGTAACATTACAGTTTATCACAGTCATATCACGGCTAAAAGAGAGACTTCTTCACTACAGACTCTGCTGAACACCACAAGTCACTGTGGGAATATTAGTGATATCATATAGGTGGATAAAGCAGCACTTAGTACACAGAGCCTGCCAGTCCCAGCAGGCACATTACATCCACAGCAAACACAGCGCCGCAAATGGACGAGAAATCAGCGTAGTATTGAGCCGAAGGTTAAAGTTTCAGAATAACACACACACACACGCGCGCATCGCTATCAGTCGGTACTCACATCATATGTTCCCCAAAGAGCCGACGGGCTCACGCTGACCGCCGGAGACTGAGGATTTCGTAGCCGCGGTGTATTTTGGGAAATAAAAAGACGCAATAAAGACACTCTGTGGGACAATACCGAGCTCAGAAAGCAGTCAAATGCAGGTTTATGGGCGACGGGAGCGACCGGAGTGAGCGGAGAGCGGGGAACATCTGCGGCTAGCTGCTAGTGTTGATGTGCCATGTGGACCCCGCCCCTCCGGACGGCAGGAGGAGGGCAAACAAACTGGCACACACTCATCCTCCACTGCAAAGTAGTAGTAGTAGTACAGTGGCACACACACACACACACACACACGGGGTTAAAGGGTGAGTTAATATTTTATATAAATATATGTTTTTGGTTGATGTTGCTCAAGTAAAGGTTCCTTCCTGCTGGATTTGAGGTTGATTGTAATTTATGATCATTTCTGAGGCTGCAGTTTGTGCTGAATAGTACCTCATATACAGAGAGCTATTAATGTTCATTCCACCATCACTGACATAAAATGGGGTGGGGAAAATATTAAAGACCCCTCTCAGTGTAATGCAGTACAGTGTAAAGGACCAGTGTTGGTGGTTGGCTATCTAGAGCTGAAGTTGCAGACTGCAACCATTTGAGTAGCTTTTTGAATATGTAGGACAAACCTTGAAGGCTGCAAAAAAAAAAAAAACGCTTGAGTCCCTCTCCAGAGCCAGTGTTTGGTTTGTCCATTCTGGGCTTCTGTAGAAACATGGCGGACTCCGTAGAAAAGGACCCGCTCTGCAAAAAACTGCTCATTCTAAGGTAACAAAAATACAACAATTCTCAATTCCAGGTGAATGTACACATTTTATCGAACCAGCTCTCCAAAACCCAAACATATGCAATCTACATCAAATGAGACAAAGAAGAGCAAATA